TTGGCGGGCCAGCCTGCCAGCCCGCCATCTTTTTTTTTTTTTAATTCTCATTTTTTAAATCTTATTTTTATTTAATTTTTAAACTAATAAATGGTGATCCAAAATTTCAAAAGTAATCACAAGTATAAATTATATTTAACCACATTTAAAATAGTCAATATAAATATAAAACAATATATTACAAATATTTTACATGACTAACATTCAACATCAACTTATCAAGTGATAAATTTTATAATTTTTTTATACAAATGTCATGTTTGATACAAAACACTATCTCTTAATAAATTAGAAGTGCATTTATCTAACTTTTTTTAAAGTTCATTCACCATATTTTTCTAAAATACTTTTTTTCTATAATAAATATTATCTTATATTTGATTGTAGTTATTAAATTTTTGCTACAAATATGGTATGCTTATTTTTAAAAAATATTTGTTGTTTACATATGTATTATGTAACATGAAAATTGAGATGTAAATGAGAGAAGAAAAATTTCAAATATAATAATATATTATTTATATGAAAAATTTAAAAAAAAAATGGTGAGTTAGGCGGGCCAACCCGCCAACCCATAGGCTAGCCCGCCACAGCCCGCGGGTTATGCGGTGCGGGCTAGAGTAGCCCGCATTTTGACCCGCTCTTTTATGGCGGGTTGGTGGGCTGGCCCGCGGGCCCCAACTCATATTCCCGACTCTACTATTCATGTATATATAACCATTCTTACTAAAAATAAAGCCATTCTACCATTATGGTGATAACGAGTGCCACAAAAAAGTGGAATAAGCTCCAAATCATTTTCAAAACATGTTTGAAAATCTAGTATTGGAGCATACTGTGCCCGAGGAAAGGGATGGGAGAGAGGCTTCTTGGTTCTGTCACCTTGCAACTAGCATGCCTTGGTCTTTTGAGTTTGAAAAAAATAACTCACAGATCGCAATCATATTTATAGCCCTCAAAGAGGCAATCAAATTCACAGTGACCGGTGGGGGAAAAAAAACCAAACCATAAATAAAGATCCCACTACCCAGAGAGGGGACCCCACGACGCTGTAGAAGAAGAATCATCGTGCAAAAAAACGTGAGATAGGACCAAAGATAACACAGAGAAAACCTAAACAGATGGTGAATTCATACCCGTGTATTGCACAGGTACTGAACTAGTTTACACTACAAAATGGGTCTTATATTTAGGACCAGGGAAGTATTTCACAACGAATTTATGCCTTGCAACGGAACTTTTGCTACTCAATAAGACTAAGAAAAATGCCTTATTTCCTTCCCTTTTTTTTCTTTTCTCACATGCATAAGATTTTTTTTTTCCATTTTCGTTTTTTGCTATTTATTTATTTCTTTTTTTTCCTTCCTTTTTTTGCCCCAACTAGCATTCCAACCCATTTACAAAAATGGCAACAACATCCCAATATATAACAAGGCATATGTGTGTTAACATGCTATGGAAATATAATTAAGATGCACATGCATTGTTATTTGCTCAAAATGAGAATAAAAAGAAAATAAAAACTCAAAAGGAGTTTACAAAAGATGTACTACCTCTGGTTCTTAATATAAGATCTTATTTGACTTTTATTTTGATCCTAAATATAAGACCCCAATCCACTTTATCTCTCATGCTTATATATTTTTTTCCAAAGTAGTCCTTCTAACAATAGTAGTTTTAGCCAATACACTTGATTAGTAAAGATATTTTAGGAAAAACAACATCTATTTAGGACAGATAACTAACTCAACTTACTTCTTTAATCTCTTCAAGTTAGTCAACAAACTCTTATAATTAGGACCAGAGGTAGTAGAAGATAGTGGTTTGTATTTGGAAAAATAGGGATATGAATAAGCATGCCTCAATCATCTTCATCATATAATCACAACGCCTAATTGTGATTATAAAACATCTAAAGAATCGGAGTCAGAGTAGATAACGGTATTGTAAAAACCCATTTACCAACTTCTAGCCTTGTATGGATAGCTATCAGTTTATTTGCTCCCACAATTGAACATATTAGAGATTTGAATGGTACAATGAGTTCTGTGGTAGCTCATAGTTGTAGGTTGGAGTTGGACATTGGAGAATTTTTTAGGTCCACGCAAAAACTTAGCTCATGTACTATTTATGTATATACCCATTTTTACTAAAAATAAAGACATTCTACCATTATGGTGATAACGAGTGCCACAAAAAAGTGGAATAAGCTCCAAATCATTTTCAAAACATGTTTGAAAATCTAGTATTGGAGCATACTGTGCCTGAGGAAAGGGATGGGAGAGAGGCTTCTTGGTTCTACCACCTTGCAACTAGCATGCCTTGGTCTTTTGAGTTTGAAAAAAATAACTCACAGATCGCAATCATATTTATAGCCCTCAAAGAAGCAATCAAATTCACAGTGACCAGTGGGGGGGAAAAAAAAACCAAACCATAAATAAAGATCCCAGTAGTTTTAGGTCCACGCAAAAACTTAGCTCATGTACTATTTATGTATATACCCATTTTTACTAAAAATAAAGACATTCACCATTATGGTGATAACGAGTGCCACAAAAAAGTGGAATAAGCTCCAAATCATTTTCAAAACATGTTTGAAAATCTAGTATTGGAGCATACTGTGCCTGAGGAAAGGGATGGGAGAGAGGCTTCTTGGTTCTACCACCTTGCAACTAGCATGCCTTGGTCTTTTGAGTTTGAAAAAAATAACTCTCAGATCGCAATCATATTTATAGCCCTCAAAGAAGCAATCAAATTCATAGTGACCAGTGAGGGGAAAAAAAACCAAACTATAAATAAAGATCCCACTACCCAGAGAAGGGACCCCACGACGCTGTAGAAGAAGGATCATCGTGCAAAAAAACGTGAGATAGGACCAAAGATAACACAGAGAAAACCTAAACAGATGGTGAATTCATACTCGTGCATTGCATGGGTACTAAACTAGTTTACACTACAAAATGGGTCTTATATTTAGGACCAAGGGAGTATTTCACATCGAATTTATGCCTTGCAATGGAACTTTTGCTACTCAATAAGACTAAGAAAAATGCCTTATTTCCTTCCTTTTTTTTTCTTTTCTCACACGCATAAGATTTTTTTTCCATTTTCGTTTTTTGCTATTTATTTATTTCTTTTTTTTTCCTTCCTTTTTTTGCCCCAACTGGCATTCCAACCCATTTACAAAAATGACAGCAACATCCCAATATATAACAAGGCATATGTGTGTTAACATGCTATGAAAATATAATTAAGATGTGCATGCATTGTTATTTGCTCAAAATGAGAATAAAAACAAAATAAAAACTCAAAAGGAGTTTACAAAAGATGTACTACCTCCAATCCTTAATGTAAGACCTTATTTGACTTTTATTTTGATTTTAAATTTAAGAACTCAATCCACTTTGTCTGTCATATTTATACATTTTTTTTTCAAAGTAGTTTTTCTAACAATGGTAGTTCTAGCTAATACACTTGACTAGTAAAGATATTTTAGGAAAAACAACATCTATTTAGGACAGATAACTAACTCAACTTACTTTTTTAATCTTATCAAATTAGTCAACTAACTCTTATAATTAGGACTACCGGTCATAGAAGATAGTGGTTTGTATTTGGAAAAATAGGGATATGAATAAGCATGCCTCAGACATCTTCATCATATAATCACAATGTAATTAAACTAAGAGTTGAAACAAGTTTCCCATAATGCAAAACTAAGTGGATGATTACAAAGGAACAAAATTCAGGCTCAAACATCTTCCAACAAGGTTTACTCCCTCAAGCTTACTCATTTTGATAAATTGGACACCAAGTTAACCACAAAACATTAATAAAACTATTCAAAAATCAAAGTATTATATTAAATCATAAACAAGCATAACTCATAATTAAAATAGTAAAAGCCATTTTCTCTTTTTTAAAAATATGGAGTAGCAAAAATCTAAATACAGCGCACAATAAACAACAGAATTATTAAAATAAGCAGAAAAAATAGCAGGACTCCAAAATATAATAACAAAAGCGTCAAATTATTATTTTTTGTTTGGGGAGTGGACCAAGGAGAACTTCCATTAATCATCACCGAAACAGGACAAGCAAAAATGAAGGCGCAACACTAAAAAAGCGCCGAGCAGAAAAAGCAACGTGCAGAACAGGAAAGCAAACCACCACCGGCCATTTGGTCGAGTGGTACGCGTGTGTGTGGAGTATGTGCGTGCGGGTTCGATCCGGCCCCTTGTAACCATAAAAAAAAAAAGGAACAGGAAAGCAAACCGAGAAGAGGGAAAGACAAAACAAGCCAACGAATGCCATTTAAGTATTGACCATGCCCAGTTGTCCACAAACTTACTGCGGTTGAGCGGATTGTGTTTAAGGTCATGTGATATTCTTTGAGCAGTTAAGAATAAACTAAACTTTATTCATTTATATTTATTAAGAAACTAGTTAAAATCAGTTTGAAACAATAAATGTGTAAGTTATGTATGTTTTAAGATATGTTCTTATTTATGAAGAGAATAAGTAAAAGATGTAATAAAAAAATCAGAGAAAAAAAAGAATGTATAGGGATAAAATTAAAAAAAACTCATTAAATGTTTAGACAAAAGTGAATATTATTTTATAAAAAAAAAACTAAACATCTCTAATAAAGTTTAGCTTATATTGTGAACAAGCAGGATTTTTTTTTTTTTTTTTACTTTTGCCACTATCTCTGTTTACTTATGAGAGATTTTACTTATTGAAAGATATCCAAGTCCCCTTTCTTTGGACCAGCAATATTTTTTCATCACATACGAGTTCATTCGTTGAATCATAATTTGGTAGGATTACCCAATTTGCCAGTACTTGTTCCCATCACTAAAATTTTTATCCCCAACTTAAAGAGAACTAGCTTCCTTTTCCCTTCGTCCACTTCTTTCTCAACATTCGGACAGAGCTCTCCCACCGCTGCTACCCCAGAGCATTCAATCATCTATTGATATATACCAAAAAGAGAGAGGGGGGGGGGGGGGGGGGAGAGAGAGAGAGAGAGAAGGATCGTAATGAGATTCATCGTCAAACGTCAAGTAATATGAAAACTGTTGCGGTGGTTCTCTTCTCCTTCACAAACTGGTTGCTGTGCTTTTCTCAGCCCTATTTGGCTCTTGATACTTTAAAGCCTGGAGAAAAGCTTACAGGCAATGAAACCCTTGTTTCAAATGGAGGCAAATTCGAACTGGGTTTCTTTTCCCCTCGACAAGATTCGAGCAAGTACTTGGGAATATGGTACCACGGGTTACAACCACGAACAGTGGTATGGGTTGCAAACAGAGACCACCCTGCTCCAGATTCCACTGCATTTTTTCAAATTGCAGACGATGGAAATCTAATAGTATCAGACATCAACGGAAAAAGCTACTGGTCTTCGGGACTAAAAGCATCTCCGTCCTTAAACCGTACAGTGAAACTCATGACTTCAGGAAACCTGGTATTGTTCGATAACCAGTTGAGTATAAATAATCTCTGGCAGAGCTTTGAACATCCAACGGATACATTTCTACCATTCATGAAAATGAATAGAAACATAAAGTTGACATCCTGGAGAAGGTTTGATGACCCAGCATCTGGGAAATTCACCTTTCAGCTTGCTCAAGCAGGTGACAACAGCTATCTCATTTTGAAAGACCGAGTCCAACTTCACTGGCAAACTTCTGACGCAATGCCCTCGACGATATCGAACTTGCTGACCAACTTCACTCTCAGGCAGAGCCCCCAGTTGAAGAATAACTTCTCGAGGCTGCCTAAGTTGAATAACAACGTCATGAATTCTACGAAACTGGAAGCCGCATATAATCTTACAAGGCTAGTCATGAATTACACAGGGAAGATCGAATTTCAGAGGTACGATATTACGTTTGGAACTGGATGGTCTGTGGGATATGGTGAACCATCTGGACCGTGTAAGATACACGACGCTTGCGGGACCTTTAGTAGCTGCAATGATCAGAATCTCCCTCCCTGCAAGTGTTTGCCCGGATTTCATCCCAAGTCACTGGCGGATAATTCCCTTGGAGAAAGGTTTAACGGGTGTTTCAGGAAAACAGCATCGTGCGAAAGAAAAGACATTGCGTTCCTAAACTTAACGAACATTGAAATTGGAAGCTCGGACACGCCAGTTGATGCAGAAAGCGAAGAAGAATGCCAATCTAAATGCCTTGACAAGTGCCCTCAATGCCAGGCTTATTCATATAATACTAAAATGTTGGATCGGAATTCTCCGTCTTGTTTGATCTGGACTCGGAACTTACCCACTCTCAAAGAACATTCCCCTCAAAGTGGCATTTCTCTTTCTGTCCGGTTACTGATTTCAGACATAGGTCAGATTTATTTATTTGTTTTCGGGCTAAAAAAAGGATATATGTAGCATGCATCATGCTTAATTTCATAATTGTGATTGAAAAGCTAATGTTATCATCACTGCATACTTCGAATTCCGTTAAATACCAAAATTTGAAGATGTTTACATGAACTTTTTTTTTGGGGGGGGGATTTGTAAACTAATATCAATATATTTGTTTTTTCCTCCTAATTTTTGTTTCCTTTTTCCAAAAGATGCTTGATTTACGAACACCAAAACTAAAATAAAGTGCACTTGTGTAGCACCAAATGCCAGGACCTGTGAACCTTGCGGCACAACAGTAGTTCCATATCCACTAAGCACAGGGACAAATTGTGGAGATCCTTTGTACTTCGAGCTAAACTGTGACAATTCAACGGGCGAGGTTAACTTCACGATGCCTGGACTTGGACCAAATCGTGTGGCTAAAATAAATTCAGATGAACGGAAGTTGATTATCCAAATTCAAGGTCCATACATCTGTGATGATAAAGAGAACCAAAGAGTTCAGCTTGATTCACCGTTTAGTGTAACCAACTGGTGCTTTGGTCAAGATAAAATTGAGGTTACTTGGCTTCCACCATTAGAACCTCTCTGTCATAACTCCACAGACTGCAACGATTGGCCACGTTCAACCTGCAATAGTGATTCAAAAGATGGAAAACGAAGGTGCATTTGTAATAAAAACTATTACTGGAACAACTCAACTCTAAATTGCACCCCCATGTCACAAGAGTCGTCTGGAAGAAAAAAACCACTCACTCTAATTCTTGTAGTAACTCTATTAACTGTGGCTTTCGCGGCATGCATGGTTGTTTTTGCCTATCTATGGAAAAGGAAAATGGCCCGTAAGGAAGGTAACATTTCTAGTTATGCATTATGAATTTCTTACTAACTCTTTTTCTTCAAGCAACAGAAGCTATACTATCACTCTTCCTATTACTCAGACAGGGGAAGAGTTCGGAGAATCCGAGGGATGTATGACAGCGAAAGAGAAGTGAAAGATTTGATAGACTTGGAAGAACTAGAAAGAGATAATGAAGGCATTGAGGTACCATATTATGATTTTGAAACTATACTGACAGCAACGGATAACTTTTCAGATGCTAACAGGCTTGGACGGGGAGGTTATGGCCCTGTTTATATGGTAATAGTCTCATCTTACATGTCAATTTCATTTTGCCCGATGGTTTGTTTACACTTTCTTTTTTCTTTAGGGTATATTACCAGGGGAGCACTACATTGCAGTAAAGAGGCTTTCAAATGTTTCGTCACAAGGTTTGAAGGAATTCAAGAATGAGGTTGTTTTGATATCCAAACTACAGCATCGAAACCTTGTCAGACTTCGAGGCTATTGCATTACTAAAGATGATAAAATCTTAGTTTACGAATACTTGCCAAACAAGAGCTTGGACACATTTTTGTTCGGTCAGTTTTTAGATGCATTAATTAATTTTTAGTTGTGATTGGATTTGGGGTTGCTGTAGGGTTCTATGCTCATTTGAGGATAGCATCATACTTATCCTTAATATAACACATCTAAATTAGATTTACAGCATTGGTATTATATTCCCTCCAGTCTTATATATAAGCTTCACTTTTAAATAAGGGTTTGGTCCAAAATATAAGCTTCATTTTTTAGTTTGTCTAAGCATTTATTACTTTTTTTCCTATTTGCCCTTAGTTGACTCTATTTAGTACTCCTTCTCTCTCATTAATATTACCTCCATATATTATCTTTCATTTTTTTTAATTCATTGCCTCTCTCATTTACTCTCTTAATAAATGAGAGCAAATTTGGGAAATTTTTTTTTTTACTTGTTTATTATTTTTAACTAATTTTAACTGTTAGTTCGTTAAACGTAACTCAGTTAACTGAAGCTTATATATAAGACTGGAAGAAGTATATTTTATTCAAATTTTGATTTTTTTTAAAAAATAGAACAAAAAATGATCTTCTAGCAACTACCTTAAAAAGAATAATGTTTTTAAATGTAAAAATATAAAAATATAACCAAATTTAAATTGTGTGAGAAAGATGAGCATGGTTCTCATCTCTGAAGACATATCTTCATTGAAATTCCCATCTTCCTAAATGAATAGTGAATCCGAATTCTTTTAATACTTTCTACACACCACACAGATCTAAAGAAAATGAAATTATTATCGCAGATCCTACAAAGAGTCTGATTTTAGATTGGCATATGCGGCTTGACATAATTCTTGGAGTTGCTCGAGGAATACTATATCTTCACCAAGATTCTAGATTGAGAGTAATTCATAGAGACTTAAAAACAAGTAACATTCTTCTTGATGAGGAGATGAAACCAAAAATTTCAGACTTCGGTATGGCTAAAATATTTGGAAACAAAGAAATTGTGGCCAACACTGAAAGAATAGTTGGAACTTAGTAAGTTAGAGATATCTATTTGATTACTATGAAATTGACCCTTAACTTCATTTATAAAAAAAATAACATTTTTTATCTTCTTATTTCGTAGTGGTTATATGGCTCCAGAGTATGCATTAGATGGATCATTTTCTGTCAAATCAGATGTTTTTAGTTTTGGTGTGGTGGTGCTTGAAATTATCTGCGGAAAAAAGAACACAGGATACTTTCAATCCAAGCAAGCTTTCAGCCTCCTGGGTTATGTAAGTTTCATCTTGTTCCTCTATTAGCTTATTGTTCTTGTACATTATGGTGATCCACTGTTTATGTGGATGAATATGCAGGCATGGAGGCTATGGGCGGAGAATAAGCTGTTGGATTTAATGGATCCATCTTTGAGTGAAAGCTGCGATGCAAATCAATTCATTAGGTGTGCGCAAGTTAGTTTGTTGTGTCTACAAGACGAACCAGAAGACAGGCCCACAATGTCGCAGGTATTGATAATGCTTGAAAGCGACACTGCAAGCCTCCCAAATCCAAAGCAACCTACCTTCTTTATGAAAAAAGACAGAGGCCTTTCTGGCTCTGCTTCTTCTTCCAGTAAACTTGAATCCAGTAAGCTTGAAATAATTCTTCCAACTGATAGTACCTATCAAGAAGGTCGATAGTGCCTGATGAGTTCTGTAAATGATAAATTCTACTGGATAGTGCCTGATATATACTACCGTGAAGGCTTGTCGGAAACAACACTTAATTCTAAGGGAGCCATGGACTATTGGTTGTTTGTTCTTATAAGAAAATGTCTATTTGAATCAGCATAAATACCATATCAGGTGTACATTCTGCGTTTGGCTCTTCTTATCATTTTTTCCTTTTTATATTATATTCTTCAGTGGCTTCTTTGACCATCAAACTCCCTAATTTGATAATCACTTTGCCTGAAAACAAGTAGTTTCACTTGTACCTTCACTCACTCGGTTAATACTGTTTCACTGTCACAAGCATTAAGCTATTAAAAACGAAAGGTTCAATGTTCACCACCTTCAACTGCGCCCCTACGCTTCTAGTTTTTTGACAGTAAATGTGGATATATGAAGGAAAGATTCCATTTTGAAACATTTTCTGATGTATTTTGGTCCTGCCCATACATAGTTGTTGTCAAATGTTGTATCAGGCATGGAGAGGACAGAAAATAAGGCGGTCGATTTAGTGGATGAGACCAGTCTGTGAAAGAAACTTGTACTGATATATAAATCAAGTTATTAGGTGTACGCACGTTTGACTCTTGTGTGGGCAAATTGAGGCCAGTGGCAGACCTACCATGTCAAAAGTTGTAATAATTCTTGACAAGCGACGGTGACGTTGCAGACTTGCCTACTCCTACAGACCCAACCATTTTTGTTTAACTTGTGAGGAGAGGATTCCTGATTCATCCTCTTCAAGTGAACCAGGAACAAACCTGCAATATGAGATTAGCTCTTCAGATGCCCCATTGTGCATGATGAAGAACCTACCCGAGATTTGCCGCATTCCAACTTTGCTATGTGGCAATAACGAACCACATTCGTGTTTTAGTGTCAAGAGGGATTTGTGATAGGGAGATGTGAATAATTGAAGCCTTTTTTTTCTGTAGCATGGCAGGGTCCTCTGGATTTTTTTAATAATCCGCTAAAAAGATTATAAAATAAGCCTAAGACTTTGCATGATAGTATCACTGAAAAAAAAAAAGAAATACAGAGAAAAGTGAAGAATTTAGCCATTTTGTAGGACCATAATATGAGTGCACTTAAATCAACATGAGAAGTCCTACATTATATATAAAATAAATAAAATAAAAAATGTGTAAACTAACCTTAAAATTTGAAACATGATGTAACGTTTTCTAACCCTTATCGCTCCTTTGGTTTCCAGTGCTTCATCAATCACCAAGCATGTTGGCATGCCTTTCCATTGTGTTGAAAAATGCATGCTTTTTCTAGGGATTGTGACAACCAATTTCCATGGTGCGTGGAAGGCATATTCATCAAATGGGCGCTGGCATCGAGTTCATCACAAACCATTAAAAAGTCCAAATTTACAGCAATAAAAAGTCTCAATTCAGCCTTCCGAACAGAAACGTCGGCATTGATTTTATTGCGTTGAAACTTGTTAGAATCCTATTTTGTACGCTTTATTGTTTTCCACAGGATTGGAAAACATAACATAGATGGAGATTGAAAGATCGGTCATATATTGGGAAGAGGTCGACCACTTTGACTATTTACTGTCTAGTTGTTCACCACTAGGCATGGGCTTTTGCTACTATCTGTCACTAACAATGCAGCATATTCTGGTATCGTTCTCTTTTTCCACATTTTATTCTTTGCCCTTTGTTCTTTCCGCCGCTACATAATATTCTTTGCCTCGAATCCCCAAGATGTACAATCTTGACAAGAAACTTGCCTGCCTTTAGGTTGATTTGAAGGTGTTTCTAAAATGCTCGAGTGGCAGTTACAACCATTTCAGTCCTCCTCATGCTGCTCAATGCTCACCAAATATTGTCGTCTGAAAATGGAAACTTTTTCTTTTTTTGTGGATTTTACAATGACTCATGGTTCCTGGGTTGAATTTTTTATCTCATACATTAAAATTGCTATGCGGTTTCAGGTTTCTTTTTACTTGTAGAATTAATATGCTTCTACGGTGCTTGATTCTCAGTTATTTGATATTGTGCCTAGTCCTCCTCGTTGCCTTCAATGCTTTCATCTGAACGCCTTACGTGACAGTGACAGTTGAAAGCGCCATTTTTCTAACGATATGTCATCACTGCATTGGCCTTTATTCCATTTAATAATGTGACTAGTGGAAATGATTCGGACAACTCTTTACCTTCCATTTTGCTAAGCTGTAAAACATATTACATCTTTCTAGTGGAAGTAGAAACCAAGCTTCAGCTAACAGAAATATGAGGATCTAGCAGAAAATCCTTAGGGTGACAGTGTTTGTATGGAATCAATATCCGAAGACTTGTGAATCAGTTGGCCACACATGCATAATTTAAGAGGTTTATGTAATAATATCCACTAGTTGCTGTTATCTCTCGTCTAATCAAAAATTTATGATAGCAAACAGAAGTTTGTCAGGAGACTAACCAGACAAAAAATGTCATGAAATGTCAAAAGTGACCCAGTGTGGTGCCTTTGCTCGAGACTTGAGCTGTGTCGGCTGGCCAAGTTAAATAGGACTGATCTCGTGACAATTGCACTATGATTGAAAAATAACAAGGCTGACTACTAAGTGCTAAACATCTGGGCGAGATTTGGGATCTCTGCTTAAAGTGCTTCTAGATACAAATCCTAGACGTATATCTTCCATCTTGGTGGATATTGTCCTATAGTACTTTATTGATTGGTGCTATGTTATATTTCTATTGGCGGATCATTTCTGCGTTCTTGAGAGAAGATTGCAAGTCAACCCATGTGGGGCGACAAAGGCGGGGTAGTGAACACTGGACCAGGGAAGGCCTGACTTCATTTTTCACTTTGAACAGAACAATATTTACTACAGTTTATCAACTTATGCTTGTATCTTTCAAACATCGTCAAGAAAATGATACCCTTGGAGAAATCATTATTAGGAGGAACTTGGATAAAAACTCTCATTTAATTGGTTTAGAGACCATAGGGTAAGACAAGAGGGTCGAAATAGATCTCACATGATTGCACGAAATAGTAAACGACTTGACAGCAACAATTTAAAATTGGATGCAAAACTAATTGTATAAGATGCTTCATTATTATAAGAGTTAACTATGAATGAACAATATTATTCTTTTTATCAAACAATGTTCCTTGACTGTTGCCCATAATTTTATTCCAAAATCTTGGAAAGAGTTTAAACCAGTTTAAAGTCTTAGCCTGCTATGGCATGCCGTGTCTCGAGCTCCGACAGCTCTCTATTTTAAGAACCTGGAGGGCCATTGATCCTAAAATAACTCAACCATGTCACAGTAAATGTTCAGTGTTCCCCGCAAGATGAGCAAACTTAATACTCGAGTAGGTAGCATATGACAAGTCTCTCACGCACACTTCACACGCTTGAATTTAAGAAAATTCATGATTTTTTTTTCAAGCTTGGCCCTAGCATTTTTTGGACTTTTGGGGTTGGCCTCAATTGTCTGCTTTAGGTTAAGTTTATTTGAAAAGTTTTTGCAACTTTATTCATTAGGATTGGATGACTATTTTCTTTCCTTTCTTGACTTCTTTTCAACGGAAGGGTAATTGGGCGGCCTGGGCTTGGCCTGTTTGCATCATGAAGAGGCATGCACATTAACCACAGCTTTGACGGCTATTCATGGAATATTATTTAATTATTGCGTCATATAAGCGGTAAGCCAAGAGTCATATAATGCTTGATTAAAAGATAACCCCGCTCAATATCTTTAAAATCTCAAACAGGATGAAGAATAAAGCAACCCTAAGGGGACCCATATAAAGAAAGATACAATTGACAAAATATAATGGAGTGATGTTGACATCACTACTCAGCTTGCCTTTTCCATCAATTATTTCATTTTGGTCTCTGGCCACGATACACCAATCACACCACGAATTACTATAGCGTGGCACTAGCAGATAGAACGGCGGCGGACTTTCTGCTTCCCTGTGACCGGTTATGCTCACGAGGAACCCACCGATATTTGGCCTAAAATGGTTTTGTGCGAACTGATAATGGATGGATAAGACCATGTAATACTGGTTCAACTTCAAGCAATTAATTACATATGACGTGGTTTGGGACGCTTATTATTTCATATGGCCCTAAATATGACAGTTAGTTGAACTAGCTATAGATATTTATGCATATCATGCATATTTGATTAGAATGCATCATTTCACCTAGCGTGTGGTTTGGACATTTTTTTTTTTTTTAATGTCGCATTGAGTGAATTTTAAGAACATCCGACCCAAATATGCGTCAACTGCTCAACCAGTGAAGTCCTAAAGCATACTATTGTCCGCTAACAAAACTTTACTAAAGTGAGATTCTTCTATTATGACATGCATAAAGAGGGTTTCCAGAGACAGGAAGGTTCCTTATTTCAATTAAGAGCGTAGCCCTGTGAAAATTGGATGATCAGTCATCACTGCACGTAGTACTTGAGAAAGGAAAGTTAGAGTTTTGCTGTCTGTCCTATGAGAAACACAAGGAGAAAGATCAGAAGGAAGATAATGCTCAACCGGTCTGCAAATCACATGCTGCCAGTATTCTTTTTGCATGCATTGTTTTTCACCTGTATGCATTGCTCTGCTACGGATGTCATAAGCACTGACAATTTCTTAAGTGATAGGGAGGGGGACTCTCTTATTTCTGCCGGGGAAAGATTTGAACTAGGATTCTTCACCCCTAATGGAAGCTTTGGTGGTGGAAGATATGTGGGAATATGGTACCACAAGTCAAATCCACCCACAGTTGTGTGGGTTGCTAACCGAGAGAATCCACTTTCTGAAGCTGGGGGTGTTCTGGCCATAGCTGAGGATGGCAATCTCAGAGTTTTGGATGGAAGTGGGAGACATTACTGGGGTACAAATCTTGAAATGTCATCTTCAGCGCACAGGACAGCTAAGCTAATGGATAGTGGAAATCTTATTATAAGCGATGAAGAAAAAGGAAGTCACTCGGTGAAGATTGTATGGCAGAGTTTTGCAGCTCCAACAGATACATTTCTCCCCGGCATGAAAATGGATGAAAATTTGGTTCTACCTTCATGGAGAAGTTATGATGATCCGGCGCCCGGGAACTTCTCATTTCGCCAAGATCAAGGAGAGAACCAATATATCATATGGAAAAGATCTATCAGGTATTGGAAAAGCAGTACGACAGGTACATTTTTTGGGTCAGGTGAAATGTCTTCCGTAATATCTTACTTATTGTCGAATTTCACCCAGAGAATATCTCCAAATAACTCTGTTCCCTTTCTTACTTCATCTCTGTATGGCGACACAAGGCTGGTTATGACTTACTCTGGTCAGCTTCAGTATTTGAAGATGGATTCACAGAAAGTTTGGTCCTTGGTGTGGGCAGAACCACGAGATAGATGCAGCGTGTATAATGCTTGTGGTAACTTCGGCAGCTGCAATAGTAAGTATGATTTTATGTGCAAGTGTTTACCTGGGTTCACGCCTAACTCTCCCGAAGGCTGGGATTCCGGTGACTTCTCAGGTGGGTGCAGAAGGAAAACAAATGTGTGCAGAGAGAACGCTGAGAGTGACAGGTTTTTGAGTTTAAAAATGATGAAAGTAGGGAGCCCGGATGCTCAATTTAATGCCAAGAATGAAATGGAATGCAAGTTAGAATGCCTTAACAATTGCCAATGCTATGCATATTCATATCAAGATCCTAAAATCACAAGGGGGGCCGCTAGTGGTGACGCAGTGTGCTGGATTTGGACTGAAGACTTGAACAATCTTCAAGAGGAGTATGAGAATGGATGTGATCTCAATGTACGCGTAGCATATTTTGACATAGGTATAATTTTTCTTTACCCCCCTCTTAAATTCTTTGCTGTGTAACTGACTCTTAATTTGAAGGCACGCGTTAGGGAAGGTTAGCTGATGATTGGAAATAATTGTTTCTATTTTCTAAAGCGCCGGAGTTCTCTTTCTGCAGCATCCAATTGCAGGACCTGTAGGACTTGTGGTACAAACTTCATTCCATATCCACTTAGCACAGGACCACGTTGTGGCGATCCCATGTACTTAAGTTTTCACTGTAACTTCACTACAGGAGAACTTACCTTTGAAAGTCCTGGGGGCACTTATCAAGTGATAAGCATAACCCCTGAAACGCAAAAATTCATGATCCACAGCAGAGACATAAGTGATTGTGAGGGTCAAAGTTTGAGGGACAAGCTTCTGCGTCTAAACCAGTCATCTCCATTTCATCTAACTGGCAGGTGCAATGCTGACCCAAGCACCCTTAATCCAATTGCTCCTGCGAAACTTGGTGGGGAAATAGAAATGAGCTGGGATCCACCATTGGAGCCACTTTGTCGTTCTTTTTCAGACTGTAAGGACTGGCCAAATTCAATTTGCAATGCTTCCACAGATGGGCAAAAGAGATGTCTTTGCAAAACAAACTTTCTTTGGGATGGCTTGAGTTTAAATTGTACCATTGGTAAGGACTTGGTGAATTAAAGAATGCTTTTACTTTGTAATTTAGCTGCTTAATATTACCTGTGAGGAAGATCAGTTCTACAGGAATACGTACCCTGTCTCACTGACTTTAACAGTTAGTGAGTGAGTTTCAGCTCTGTTCCCATTCCAAAATGCTGTCAGTATTGTCACAGCATGATTCCAAATCTGGATTCAATTCAGCACCAGAACCCAAATTAAATTTGAACAAGTTTGTGTTATAAATTCATCGTTAGGAAATAAAAATAATTTTCTACGTTTCTGTATGTAATTAGTGCATTTCAACTTTTGCAGAAGGCAGCCGTCGCGGTAAAACAGGCAGGCGTTTGTCTGTTCCTTTGATTATTGCAGTCATTTTCACTATTGTGATTGTGCTAATTCTTCTATCAAGTACCGTCACCTGTGTTTACATTTGGAGGAGAAGGATGATCAAGACAAAAGGTAAATTCAATTCCTCTTAATCTCTAGGGGAAGTTGTTATGCGGTAATAATAATAAGTACTAGTGTTATGATGGTTAGAAGTTCCTAGTGTAAGTTGAAGGCCAGGGGACCTATATATACCCTCATCTGTACTCTGATATACTTATGCAATGAAAAGTGTCATTCCTTTACTATTACGATTCTCCATATTTAAAAGTTGATTCAAAACATTTCTATGTGACTAAAATATACAGTTCATCTGTTTAACTTCAGAAATCAGGAGATATGTCAAGAAAAATTCAACGAGGAGCCTGTATGACAGTGAGAGATATGTCAAAGATTTGATTGAATCGGGTAGGTTCAAAGAAGATGACGGACATGCCATAGATATCCCAAATTTTCATTTGGAAAGCATACTTGATGCTACCAATAACTTTTCAAATGCAAACAAGCTTGGACAGGGAGGATTTGGTCCTGTCTACAAGGTAATGAAAGTTTTTCTCAAATAACCTTTGATTTTCCATATTTAACGCATTGTTGACGGGAAAGGACCATGTTCGATAAAATGTCAGGGAAAGTTTCCAGGAGGACAAGAGATGGCAGTAAAGAGACTTTCGAGTTGCTCTGGGCAAGGTTTAGAAGAGTTCAAAAATGAAGTTGTATTGATTGCCAAGCTTCAACATCGAAACTTGGTTAGGCTTCTCGGTTATTGTGTTGAAGGAGATGAAAAGATGTTAGTGTATGAATATATGCCAAATAGGAGTCTAGATTTTTTCATATTTGGTAAGATTACTTCACACATTATTTTTCCTTTTTTGTAAACTTACCTTTCATATTTGGAAATTCTTGTCGGACAAGCACTAACACGGAGCCATGCTCTCAATTTTACTGTGATATCCAAGATAGGAAGTCATGTGTTTTATTAGATTGGGGCAAGCGTTTCAAGATTATTTTGGGAATTGCCCGAGGGCTTCTTTACCTTCATCAAGACTCAAGGCTAAGAATCATTCATAGAGACTTGAAGACAAGCAATATTCTACTCGATAAAGAGATGAACCCTAAAATCTCAGATTTTGGTTTAGCTAGGATCTTCGGAGGAAAAGAAACAGCAACAAACACGAACAGAGTAGTTGGAACTTAGTAAGTTTCATGAAAATGCATAATTTTGTGTCATTTTAGTAGATTGTAGCAGTAGTTCCTTCTACTTCACAAATGGTAGCAGCCATCAGCTGAATTTGGTCCAACTAATATATGTACACACTTCTTCCTTTTTCTTTTTTTTTTTATGCAGTGGCTATATGTCTCCAGAATATGCACTAGATGGATTTTTTTCAGTCAAGTCTGATGTGTTTAGCTTTGGCGTGGTTGTACTCGAGATTCTTAGCGGAAAAAGGAACATGGGATTTTACCAGGCAGATCATGAATTGAGTCTTTTAGGCTATGTGAGTATACCGAGTTTTCATATACTCTCCTTCCCTCCTTAGTTTGTCTGATGGCTCTTTAATGCCACAAGTGGAACTGGTGCTGCAACTAAATATAAAATTAGAATGAGACGCAATGAACAACGTTAGTTGCCACACAAACAATGCTGAAATTCTATAACCTATCACATGATTGGTTAATGATGATATAACCCTCCTGTCAGCTGCTGCATGCAAAATTTTCCTGTGTTCTTAAACCATCGCATTATAACTGCAAGACCAAAGCAAGGCATGCAAACTTAGACAAGAATCATTATGAAGCATGTGTCAGGTCCAACTTTTTATTTTTTTGGGTCGTCTTTACAGCTATCACTGCAATATTAAAGCAAATGGGGTGTTGATGGAGAGAAAACCCAGAGTATTTTGCATATTTTGGCCTCACAGTAGAGGTATTATATAATTGTACTTTTTTTTGGGGGGGGGGGGCTCCTCTGTTCAACTGACAGTATTAGGTTGTTGTTTTTCTGAGTTCTTGTAAGTTGAAACACATAGAGGCTTTTTTCCCCTTTTCCTATCCTTCTTGTTGCAGGGATCTTGTTTCCTTTTTTGGACTTTAAAGTTGAAACACTTCAAAATAGTGGTGCGATTCAGAAGATTCAACTTAGCTGAATTCATTCAAATGTGTCTATCTCAACTTACAGACATGAGCAAAAGCGATTGACTTCTACAAATGAAGTTAGATATAAAGATAACAAGAACTTTTTTGGTTAAAGTTTTCTCAGTTACTTGTTACATTTAATTGAAGGGAATGTTTGGTTTAATACAAAGGTAGCTTCACCAGTAACACCAAAAAAAGCCACAGTTGGTAAAATTTCGGCTACAAGGAGGTCAAATTTTGCTCAATCCATCACTGAGCAAGCTCTCTCACTCTAATTGAATTCTCAGTTGTGTCGCTATAGATGGATTCTTCCCAGATAATAACAAATTTCAATTTATACTTGAATTTCAGGCGTGGCATTTGTGGAAAGTAGAGAGAGCACCGGATTTTATGGATCAGACACTATCTCAGACATACAAGACAGATGAATATTTGAAGTGTGTAAATGTTGGACTGTTGTGCGTACAAGAAGATCCAAGTGACCGTCCCACCATGTCCAGTGTAGTTTTCATGCTTGGAAGTGATTCCAATACCCTTCCAACTCCCAAGCAGCCAGCCTTTGTTGCTAGAAGATGCCCTTCTAGCAGAGCCTCTACTACCAGTAAAGTGGAATCTTGTTCACATAATGAATTGACTGTCACTTTAGAAAACGGTAGGTAGCTTATCTATTCTAGTCGTTGTTTCCAGAATTACTGCAAGGCTCTGTTTGAAGCATCGATTGCTTTTAATTGTTTTCAAGGGAATCCTGTATTGATAGTCTTCCAAATGTAATGTTGATGGTCTTCTATTCCATCCTTCTATGTGGATATCTAATCCAAGGATGAGATTTGATGACTGAAGAAAATGAACATAATTTGAATTTTACCTCTTGATAAAATGTTTGACCGGAGGTCTCATTGTTGAAAATTTCAATATTACCTCGCAGATCATCTCTTCTTCTTTATTCATGCGCAACTTCCATGTTAGTGACGCCCTTGTGTTCCAGCTACATATGATTTTCTAATTTCTACACCAAATGTATCTTTTTTCTGGCCCCTTTCACTGTCATTTGCCTGTATTTAGGATGGTTTTGACCAAGCTGAATCAGGTAATCACTCATGAATTTCCAGTCTGAATTCGATTGGAAGCCATGAAATTGTCATAATGCTCCGGGGCATGTGATGGAAGGTCTCAATCAATTTGTCCCACAAGGTTTTGACCCATTTCATGTCTCTTTCTTCAGAGCTGTAATTACGTTGGCTTCGTCGTCCGCAGTTTTGACCTTGTAAAATGGTGAGACGGTGCTATTTGGTCAACCATTTATGGGATTTTGCAGTGACCGAGACGTGGATGATTGATCTCAAAATAATTACTCAGCTAAAAACCCTATTAATTTAATCGCTTCATGTGCCAACAGTTTAAGAGTGTGAAATAAACATTAAAAGATAAGGTTGCAAAGATAAATGCGATGTCAACTATTAAACTCCTATCTTGATCCCTGATGAATCTCGTGGACATTATCTATTATTCTTCACATAGAGGCAATTACTATTAAGTGGGACTCTCAAGAACATACCACTCTCTTTAAAACCTTATTGTGCAATAAGTTGAACTAATCATTGTCGGTGCCTTGTAGCCTAACTGATATTATTCCAATGCTAAATATAAGATCCATTTTGTAGTGTAAATTACACTGTAAAATGGGTCTTATATTTAAGATCGGAGGAGTACTAAACATTTCCTTCAAGACTTTTTTAAACTTAAAATTATGAATTTGAACTCAATATAGAATATATAATGAAGGTGCGAGCCATGGAAAGGGGGAAAAAAGAAGACATGAAGCTTATTAAGTATACACAACACAGACTTGGTTAAATTCTTGAAAAGCAGAAACAAGCATTTGTTAAAGATTGAAGTAAGATCTGTCGGGCATCAACACTTGATAAAGTGTGAAGTTCATTCGCACATTGTTCTTTTAATCAAGAAGATATGGTATCATAAAATATCATTAGTTCTGTTGGTCTGCTGCTGTTATCCAGATGCCACACAAAATTATTATTTAATAATTGAGGATCCCAGATTTGGATGTGGATGTTTCCTCCATGACCCACATATGGAAGAACAGGGCATCTTCTTGTCTACGCTTCAGAGAAACCCTTCTCAAATGCTTTATTTGCAGCAATTGTAATGCTTAGGATAAAAGGTTTAACAACGTGATGTGAACACTTGTGGGCATCTAGTCTGAAAGTGGCCTATAAATGTAGAAGCCTGAGCTTCCCCGCATTGGGTCACCCTCCTTCGTCTCTTTTATGTGTCGAGTTACGATAGGTGCAGGGGAAGGCGCATGCCTTCACATATGGGAATGTGATGTGGACCATTGGATTCATATTGCACAAGTCACATTGTTTTTAATAATTTTAGAGAATAAATGGGAGGACACAATATTTTAACTCAAAACCTTAAAATTTAAATTTGTTAGTCTTTACTTTAACTCAAAACCTTAAAATGTAAATTTATTAGTCTTTCCGATTTATTATACTGCTATTTATTAAAATCAATTTTATTCATCATGGGATTTCCCACGCCAAATTCGGTCGACTCAGATTTGAACAACCGAACATTATATGTTGGGTTGAACAGGCAGTTGAGAGGAAAGTTGGTGGGTGTTTCCAGTAGAGAAGAAATTTGCCATTTCCCTCCTGACTAAGCATATGACAATTCCTTAACGACATCCTTTGGTTTCCCAATGAATGTTCGCGTACACGCGTACACACGCACCCATCGCCATTCCCCCCCACGCAAACACAATTCTGTCAAGTAATTTTAACATCAGAGCCCTTTTAGTCTTTCTTTCTTCTTCTTTTTTTTCCAATTAAATTCTTATTTCAAATTGATCAGTCTAAAATTATCCTTCTATAAATCAACTGTGTTATTTATTATTTATGAGCAGTGCAAATTATGAATTAGAATTAAAAGTTAGAAAATAAAATTTCAGTAATAAAAGGAAATAAACAATAAGACCCGTAAAACCATTCTTTGACTTGCCAAAAAAATTCTTTGACTACTTTGTTTGTTTCAGTCTTAATAGCTCAAAGTCAACTATCACAGACACGGGGTATACATGGCATGCAACCTCCATGGAACTTTTGAATTTTCCATCCTATCCCCTTTTGTAGACATGTGAATGGATGAGCAATAACACTTCGTCTCAGTTTATTTATAAAATATAAATAAATTAAATCACTGCTCATCAATAAATATTATACCCACTTCATTTCATGAAATCTTTTCTATTCCTGCATTTAGTTATGGTGATTTTAATTTTCTTAACTTAATTATTGTCATAAATTACTGTTATTTTTTGCCAGGGGAAAAAGTAAAACAATTACGTGAGCTTTTGTAGGAAGCCTGAGCCTGACAAACTTCTCGGAAGGAGGGAGGCAATTGCTGTCATGTGTGACGAATACGAATCAAAAAGACTGTCATCAGCTAATAAATAAATTTGCGTTCATCCACACCTGCTTTTCATTCCCTCCTTCCTTGAAATCCTTCCTTAGATCCCTTTTTCCCATACCTTGTTCCCTATATATATACACGACTCACCACCTTCCTGGCCTTCAACAGACGCACACAAGTTTCTGCATATTATTCGTATAACACTTTGCAGAGAGCATCGTCATCAATGGCGGGGAAGATTGGGTTTGAAGACTTGCTGCCTGTTATGGCTAATAAACTTGGAGGAGAAGGTCTGATAAAAGAGCTGTGCAATGGGTTTGAGTTGCTGATGGACAAAGACAAAGGGGTGATCACTTTGGATAGCTTGAGGAGGAACTCTGCTCTTCTGGGTCTGCAGGACTTGAAGGAAGATGAACTTGTGAGCATGATGAAGGAAGGCGATCTCGACGGCGATGGTGCTCTGTCTCAGATGGAGTTCTGCGTTCTCATGTTCAGATTAAGCCCCGATTTGATGGCTCACTCTTGGGCTTTGCTCCAACAGGATCTCCAACATGAACTCGATCACCTCGCTTCCAAATGATTCTTCATTCCTTGATTTTCTTGTTTCCCAGTTTCGTCTACATTGTTACCAGAGTTCTTTCTGATCATTGTGAATTATGATATGAAAATATGATTTATACTCCGATCTTCAGCCTCAATCATTATTCATATTTGAGAAAATTAACATGTCAGTCCTTGTAGTTTTTCCTGATTTTTAATCAGGTGGTGTCTTCTTTTTATTGTTCATCATACTTTCTAATTTATCACAAAAAAGGATTGGTTTCTCACGAAGGGACATGAAATTTGCTGCCAGAAGGCAACTCCATACATACAGGGTATGAACAGAACACAGCTGTAGAACAGTTCATGAATCTTGCGTAGGATGAGAAGCATAATTCTTAGTGAACGGAGTTCAAAGCAAGTGGGCTCGGAACTTTCGCAGAAACACTATTCGTTGGTTTCTTGTAATTGTTTGACCCGTTTGTTGTTATTAGTTTTGAGATCGAAATAGCTCTTGGCCGACCAGTCAAATCACAGACGCTTATAACCTCTTATTTTATATTATTTATCAGGGGAAAAAAATTGAAGTTCAAGTGTTCAACTCATCCAATTGCATACAGATTTTATACTAATATTTCATTCAGCATCGTGGCGGTGAAAAGAAAATCATTTTCAATCATTTTAAAAGTTGATAATTTGAGGGGAAGTCCTATTAATTTATTCTTGAAATACTATTTGCCTGCAAAAAAAAAATTGTTGGAATATTTATGTTGATCACTTTGGAATCAGTAGGTTATAATTCTTGCGCAAACGGGAAACTTTCAAAGCGCTGATGGGCATTTGAAACCGATTTAATAAATTAGGTCAGCCGAATTCTTCTTTGCTGGGTACAATAATCAAATACTTTAAAGTTCTAGTCCAAGTTGTGGTCTAAATATGGGTTGCGGACCAAGTTAGCTCAGTTGCCCTGTTCTTGAGAGCATGAGGCCCAAAATTGTATTTTATAATGTGTGTTTTTGTATTAATGAATTTTTATATTTATATTTTTAAAAAAATTGTAACTTTTAATAGTTATTATTTTATATTTTTATAGGCCCTGATTTACATTTTTTTATAAAAAGAAAAAAATGTACCATATCATATGGTTATCGCATTTCTTTTTTGAAATTTTGGTTTGACTTTGATACGGAAGTGCGTTGCAACCCCATGCCTGCATCAGAACCTTCTGAAACGGGCCTTGGCTCCTATCGCTTTCCATCACCTTTGAAGGTAAGAGTGAAGAGAAAGCACCAGAAAGCAAATACGGGGTTTTCTGAGGTAGCAAGAGAAACATCAAATGGGGGGAATGGATAGGCAAATACAGGTCTTTCTGAGGAAGCTGTCATGGGCTTGCATCACCGTCGCTTCCTTCACCCTTCTCCTTCTCTTCCTCCAAACCCCTGAAACCTGTGTTCCTCCAGACGCACCCCCCAAGCCTCACCTCCGATTCCCCAAATCTTCCTGCGATTTCTCCCCTCGTGTCTACCTTCCTATCGACAAGAAGAACAAACGCCTCTGGTCCTCCAGAGAATGGCTAAAGAAGGTTGATTCCTATGTTAAATTCTTCAAATCCGTTCAAGATCTGGGTCTTCTCCAGAAGAATTCCAGAGCTCTCTGTGTTTCCGCCGGAGCTGGACACGAGGTCATGGCTCTGACCAATATGGGGGTGCTCGATGTTACCGGAGTCGAATTGATCGAATCGCCGCCACTGGTGAGTCGGGCTGATCCGCATAACTTGCCCTTCTTTAACGATTCGTTTGATTTCGCTTTCAGTGCCCATTTTGCCGAGGCATTGTTTCCCTCGCGATTTGCGTCGGAGATGGAAAGGACAGTTGAGGCCGGGGGAGTGTGTGTGCTTGTTGTGGAGGAATGTGGGGATGATGAGGTGAAGGAGATTG